GCTGCTGCTGCTGCTGCTGCTGCTGCTGCTCACCGTCCGTCGAGAAGCTGTTTGTTGAGGCGGAGTCCGCACTTGGCGCATTCGAAGCAAAGACGCCGCAGCAGCGGCTGCGAAGAATGGGCCCGCAGCACGGAGCCGTGGACGGAGACAAGCCGCCCGATCTGCAGCAATAAATGAATAAATAAATAAATAATTAATTAATTAATTAATTAAATTAATTAATTAATTATTTAGTTGTTTAATTGTTTAATTTGCTTGAATTAATTGCTCGTTTGGGCCCGGTGGCCAAGAAGAAAAAGCAGAGACAGGGAGCGCAGCGCCGTCGGCAGCAGACACAGGGGCTCAGTCAGTGCAGCAGCAGCAGCAGCAGCAGCAGGAAAGCCAGTTGCAGTAGCAGCAGCGCCAGCAGGAAAGCCAGTTGCAGCAGCAGCAGCAGCATCTGCACTAGTACAGGAAGCGGTTCGTTATAGCGTTGGAATCACTCGCAAACGCAGCAGCAGCAGCAGAGGAGGTAGCAGCAGCAGCAGTGGCAGCAACAGCAGCAGCAGCAGCAGCAGCAGCAGTTTGACCTGGTTGCTGCGAAGGGCCCCGAAGGCGGTGGGGGGCCCCAAGTCGATGGGCCTAATGGAGACAGTAATGGGGACTCCTGCTGCAGTGCTTGTGATTTCTGCTGCTTCTGGAGACAGTTGTGCTGCAGCAGCAGCAGCAGCGGCGGCGGCCTCGCCGGTGAGCGCCGCTGCAGCCACTGCAGCAGCAGCAGGAACCCGAGCAGCAAACTCCGGCAGCAGCAGCAGCGCATGCAACCCGCAGCTCATTGCATGCAGCACATCTTGTGGGGAGCAGCAAAGAGAGGAAACAAAAGCCCCGGGGCTGGGGGGGGGCTGTAGAGACACCAGACGGCCCAGCACCAGCGGCACTTCCAACGTGAACGGGTCCACCTACAGCAGCAGCAGCAGCAGCAGCAGCGGCGGCGGCAGCAAGTGGGGCTCGGCGCAAGTGCTGCTGCCGCTGCAGCAGCAAATGGGGATGGGCGCAAAGAGTTGCAGCAGCAGCAGCAGCAGCAGCAAATGGGACTGGGAGCAAGAACTGCAGCAGCAGCAGCAGCAGCAAGGTCCAGCAGCAACAACAAGCGAGCGTCTATGCAGCAGAAAGGACGAGGATCTTTTTCTACGCGGACGACAGCAGCAGAAGCAACTGCAGCAGCAGCAGCAGCAGCAGCAGCAGCAACAGCAGCAGCAGCAGACTTGAGGGGACTCTCACCACTGGCAGAATTTCATCTGCGTTTCGAATGAAGAAGTCCAACCAAAGGGACACAAACTGCTGCAGGCCCTCTGCGCAGGAACAGCAGCAGCAGCAGCAGCAACAGCAGCAGCAGCAGCTGTGATGGGCAAACAGCAGCAGCGAAGCCGATTGCTGGAACAGCAATAGACTAGCACCCACTGCTACATGGGCAGGAGGAAGGTTTGCTGCTTATGCAGCAGCAGCTGCTGCTGCTGCTGCAGTGGTAGCAGCAGCAGCTGCTGTTCCTGTTGCTGCAGCAGCGGCTGCTGCTGCTGCAGAAGCAGCAGAACGGCAGCTAATGAAAAAAAGAGGACTGACCATCCTGAGACTCTCCCGGAAAGAAGAGCTCCAAAAGGGCCACAGGGATCATCTCAGCAGCGACCCAGAAAAGGGTTTAGGGTTTAGGGTTTAGGGCTTAGGGTTTCCCCTGGGGTCGTTTCTGGGGTTCCCTGGGCCCTGCTTGCTGCTTGTCCCCAACAGCCTTTATGCGGTGGCAAGCTAGCTAGCCAGCCAGCCAGCTAGCTAGCTAGACAGCTAGCTGGCCAGCTAGCTAGCCAGTTTGCTGCGCCTGAGTTGCGGCTAAGGGCCAGCCCCTGCTGCCTTCATTCTGGGGAAATGGAGAAGATGAAAAGAAGCAAAGCTTCGGGAAACGGGAAATAAATAAAAAGGAAAAAATGAAATAAAAGAAAGCAAATAAAAAGAAAATGAATAAAAAGAAAATAAATAAAAGGGAAATTAATTCTCTAGACTGCACTTCCCGCGCTTCGGGCTCGAGGTGTACATACACCCCAGAACCCACCGCCTGAAACGCGTGTAATTCCGCAGTTATGGACGAAAAGCATTTCTTTTGAATTATATTTTAATAATAAAGCAAAATGAAACAAAGAAAAAGGATAAAACTGCGTGTTTATTGGCGACTGGAGGGTGGGGTTGGTCCTGGAAGCCGGATCGAAACATGCAGGCGATTTCGGCCGTTTGCGCGACTTAGCCGGCAAAATGGGATTCTAATTGTGAATTTGACTCATTAAAACTTTAAAAAATTAAAAGTTAACTTATTTTCTCTTTAAATGAACTTATTTCCTCCAAATTCCAAAAAATGGACGAGCGACGCAGAGTGCGCGGGTGTACATGCAGGCTGTACATACACCCCAGCGCCAAAGACACAAAAGATATGGAGCGTCCCAACAGCCCAGTCCATTTAAATGACAAATAAAATAAATAAATTAAAAATAAAAATATTTAATTTAATTCAAAGTTTTAATTTAAAACAAAATAAAGAGTTTCCGCCGCAGCAACAGACCCCTGGGGCCCCACACTGCGCAGCAGCTGCAGCTAGCTGCAGCTAGCCACAGCGAGATCTAGCTAACCACAGCTAGCTAGCTCCAGCTAGCCATTGCTAGAGCCAGCTAGCCACAGCACGCCCTAGCCACTCATAGCTAGCTAGCCACAGCTAGCCACAGGGAGATCTAGCTCCTGATAGCTAGCCACAGCTAGCTGCGGCGAGAACTCGCTACTCACAGCTAGCTGCAGCTAGCTCTGCAAGCTGCTGCAGCTAGCCACCGGGATCTGGCTGTGATAAGAAGGTTTAGGGTTTCGGGTTTGGCCGAGGGCCTGTTTGGAGGACTTAAAGAAGGGCCTCAGGGCCCATTCTTTTGCCACTAAAAAGGGTTTAGGGTTTAGGGTTTAGGCGAGGGCCTGTTTGGGGGCATTAAAGAAGGGCCTGAGGGCCCATTCCTTTTCCAAGTCCTTCATTTCTGCTGTCCCCAATTCTATTTTAAAAGGCTTAAGACAAAAGCGAGGGCCCACTTCAGTTAGAGACAGTCCCTTCGCGGGTTCTTGTCCTGAAATAAAAATAAATAAATTATAAATAAATATATAAATAAATAATAAATAACATTCAAATAAACAGTTGTAATTATATTTATAAATAAATAATAAATAGATTAATTGATAGTGAATAAATAGTAAATAGTTGATGGTAGGAAGTGGAATAATGGAGAAGACAGAGAGATAAAGGAGACAAAAAGAATTCAAAAAATAGGAGGAGACAAAGAGAAGTGAAAGGAGATCAAAGAAATGAAAGGAGACAAAGGAGACAAAAAGAAATAAAAGGAGAAAAAAGAAATAAAAGGAGAAACAGAAATAGAAGGAGATAAAACAAATAAAAGGAGACAAAAAGAAATAAAAGACAGAAAGAAATAAAAGGAGATAAAAGAAATAAAAGGAGACAAAAAGGAATAAACAGAGACAAAAAGGAATAAAAAGAGACAAAAAGAAATGAAAAGAAATGAAGAGGGATAAAAGAAACAAAAGGAGACAAAAAGAAACAAAAGAAGTAAAAAAGAAATACAAAAAAACAAAAAGAGACAAAAGGGGAACAGCAAAGAAAATGAAAAGAAATAAAAGGAGACAAGTGAAAAGACAAAAAAACTGAAAAAGCAAATTATAAGGAGACACTGAAGAGACATCAAAGGGAACAAATAAACAGACAGCAAGTGAGACACAGCAGCAGCAGCAGCAGTGCAGCAGCAGCAGCAGCAAAAAGGGCCATTAGTGAGAGTGCAGAGGGACAAGAAAGAGGAGCTGCTGCTGTTGTGAAGCAAAATTAAGTATGAGGAAGCAAATGAAGAGCAGCAGCAAATCTAAAAAGACAAAAGAAACAAAAGGAGACAAAAAAGATATAAAAGAAATAGAAAGAGACAAAAGAGACAAAAGAAAAAGGAAACAGCAGCAGACAAAGAAGCTCGCAGAAACGGCAGCAGAACGTGCCTGCATCCTTCTCCCCGTCGCCACCCCTGCCGCCGCCGCTGCTGCTGCTGCTGCTGCTGCTGCTGCTGCTGCTGCTGCTTCTGGTGTCCGTCCAGGTGTAGTGTCGGAAGTGGATTGTGTCATTAATATTTACAAACGCATGCACGCGGTGGCTAGACACTGTAGAAGGGGGAAACAAAAACTTCAAAATCGAAAGGACCCGCAGACCCACTGGAGTCGCAAAGTTGTGAAACACCAGGTGCGGCGGCGCCTGCAGCAGCAGCAGCAGCAGCAGCAGCAGCAGTGCAGCAGCAGCAGCGCAGCAGCGGCGGCAGTTCGCGGCAGCAGCGGCACTCAAGCAGTAGCAGCACTGCAGCAGCAGCGGCGAAGAGACACACTGGTGCAGCCCGCAGCAAACGCCAGAACGGCAGCAGCAGCAGCGCCGCAGCAGCAGCAGCAGCAGCAGAGCAGCAGCAGCAGAAAAGGACCTGGGACATGTTGGGGGCCCTCTCCGGCAAGTCATGACGGAGACAGACACCCGAAAGGGTAAAGTGGGCTGTGGGGCCGTGCGGCAAATGAGAGACAATTAGCCGGGTGGGCTGGCCTGCAGCAGCAGCAGCAGCAGCAGCAGCGAAGTGCCAGGGCCAGTAGCAGCAGATGGGTTAACAGCAGGAGCAGCAGTAGCAGCTGCAGCAAAGCAGCAGCGTGGATGGGGGCAGAAGCAGCAGCGTGGATGGGAGCAGGAGCAGCAGCGATAGCAGCGGCAGCAGCAGCAGAAGCGACAGCAGCAGCAGCAAAAGCAGCAGCAGCAGCACAAACCGGCTGCAGCAGCAGACAGCAGCAATGGGAGACCCTCAGCGGCAGGAGGCAGCAGCAAAAGGAGACCATCCGCAGCAGCAGGAAGCAGCAAAAAGAGCCCATCCACAGCAGCAGGCAGCAGCAAAAGGAGCCCGTCAGCAGCAGCAGCAGCAGCAGCAGCAGGAGACACCTCTGTGTTCGTGGACGAGAAGCAGGTCGGTGATGCCGCTGCTGCGGCAGAGCTGCAGCAGCTCGTCGAGGACAATTGTCCCTCTGTTGATTCTTCTGCAGTTCGGCAGCAGCAAATTTAATTCTTTCACAAACTGCTGCAGCCGGCTCGAGGGACTGCGGCTCGTTGTCAGCGCAATACTCGGGTCCTCCACGCCTGCAGCAGCAGCAGCAGCAGCAGCAGC